GGTCAAACGCATCAACTTTGACCACACTGGCAGAGCCTATACAAATATCATTCCACAATTTGTGTTACTTAAATTTTGAAGATGTATATTTTCAAAATATTCACACTTTACTCCCTTCATTTCAATATAAATTTCTCACTTTGACTCCTACAAGTATTCACAGGTAGTAATGCGAGTATTTGTTTTTTTTTAGGGCACTTAGCGAGTATTTGTTAGAGTCACCTCAATGTTTATTATTATTATTATTATTATTATTATTATTATTACTATTATTATTATTATTATTATTATTATTATTATTATTATTATTTCTTACATCTAAAGATAGTTAAAAATATTATTGATCAAAAATCCATATTGGTTTTATGTTGGTCAAACTGATGCAAATAGTTTGAAATAAATGGAATAAGATATTAAACAAAACATGCTTGAAAGACATACTCTTAATACCTCGTTATAGTCTATAGTTAAGAATAAGATTACGAGGTGAACTCAAATATGAGTAAAATTAAGCTCATATCCTTTTAGAATCATATACAAGAAACTAATTTCTTTTTTTTTTTATTTTGTGGTAAAGAAGACTTTGGCCAAATCTCAATCTTTACGGTTTTTTTAACATAGTATTTACGGACCAGTGACTTGGAAGTAAAGGGAAGGTTTAAGGATCCTATCTCCCAAACACCCTCACTTGGTAAGATTTGAATTTTAAACCTTTAGAATATGAGATAAAAATTACCAAATGAGCTAACACTTTATTGAGATTAGAAATTAATCTCCTATTCTCTTAAAAATAGTACGAAAAAAGGAATATGTAGTACGAGTAAAATGATGCACATTTATACATTCCGTGCAACAAATAACACACAAACTTGTTTTAAGCTTCTTCGGTGAAGAATTTATTTTTGGTTGATCTCACATTTATGATCTTCTGACTTGTGACTATCACTACCGTTTCGCACCTTATTAAAAGGTCTTCCAACTTTTCCCCAAAACCTCAACGTCTAGTCCTTTGTCCTCCTTTTCAATTCCCTTTTTTTTTAAAAAAACTTTTTTTTTTAAGACACATTTTAAAAATAATTCTTATTTTAGTTTTTATACTCGTACATTAATAATTCAATTCCATGCAACTAATTCTATAGCATGCAACTAATTTCATAGTTGGTCCAATTTATTAGTCAAAAAGTACTTATGTTTTTATGGAAACAAAAGTTAAGTATATAGAGAAGTGTGTATTTCCAATTTTGGGTTCATATACTATAGGGGTAAATTAGTAATTTCGTATTATGTTCCCTACATTGTGATAGGTCTATTTATTTGTTGGGTAGTTTCACCTTTTAATTTTGACGAGCTTAGCTTTTTAGGCTTTTGGGTTGATACTCTCTATAAGAATAGGATGTTGTAATATGTACCCTAATGCTTTGGGAAGCATAAAATAATTTGGCTTTAAGACAAGAGTATTTTGTACTTCTTGCCATGAAAATGGTTATCTAGTTGTTGACCTGTGTTTTTGTGAGGGGGGACATGGAGCAATTTGTACGTGTGATGAGACTATTCTCCGTTGATTTGAAATACTTGTAAAACTCGTATTTTCTTACAAAAATTATGAGTACAAAGTATTACTAGTACATAGAAATTAAATGAATATGTTAATGTGCAAGTATAGTTAATTGAAATAAATCTATGGAGTATTATGTAGAGAAGTTAAACAATAAAGTATCATCAAAAATGATATTGATGAAAAAGAGAGACACAAAGAATTAGTGTAAGTGAAATTAGTAGAAGATCTGGTAATACAGGTATATAAAATAATAGCAATCTTGTGTTCACCTGTCTGGATAGAGAGTATTTAGGAATAGATCGAGGGGGTAATTATATAAATGGGTGATTGGGTATTTAGAATACAAATGATACATATATTGGTTAAACATCGTCACTCGCCCGTATAAAAGTTAGCGAGTGACAACTTATAACCCTTTTTCTATCCAAAATAATAAACGCATATTGTACACATGATTTAGGGTATGTTCACATTTACTTAATTTCAGTTCAGTACAGCTCTAATCAGTTCAGTTCAGTTCAGCTCCAATCAATTCAGTTCAGCTCCTAAATTCCCTATCTCATAAAATATTCCTTTCAGCTCAATTCAGTTCAGTTCAATTCAGCACAATTCAATAAATGTGAACATACCCTTATTCTTATAACTTTATTCTATCAATTTTTGTACGCTTTTTTTGCTTCAAATATTCATTGAATATTTTTTAAACACTATTAAAAGGGTAAAAAACCAAAGAAGAAAAAAGGGGAGGAAATCTATCTATACATATATAAAGGCGTTTATAAGAACGTCCACGTGTCTCGTAGGCCCCTCTCATTACGCCATGTCACCAACTCAACTAATCATTACGCCACGTCATGCACTTATAATAATAGTAAAAAAAAACTCTCCACAAGATTTGAACACGCAACCTCTAAATCTAAAACTAAGTGTTATAACACCAATCTAAGTTATTTTTTATTTATTCTTTTGAATACAAAATATTAATATGTAACAAATGACAATTCAATATGAACAACAAATTTAATTACAAGAAAATTGAGTTATAAATTACAATGTATATTAATGATCAACCCTATGTAATTACCCAGGGTATTGCCCGGGCCCAAAAACTAAAATGAAAATATAGAGGAGTAATTAAGATTAAGCATAGAAATTAATAAAAATAAATTACAAGATTAACCTTTGATTACATAATCGGACATTACATTGAGATTTTTTTTTTTTGTGCAATATTCAATATTATATAGAAATAATTTTTTATCAACTTCTTAATTATTAAACTAACATGTCAATTTTAACTTTTGAGACGTTAAATCATAAGAATTTAACTTTCCTTTTCATTTTTTGTTTGATCACACAATTTATTTTGTCATTATTTGTCGTTAATAATGAGTATTATCAACAGCGAAAAAATAAAATAAAATATTCCGTAATAATTAAGCACTTACTTGGGCAAGAAAAAAAAGGGGGTTAAATGTCACTAAGGTGCTAACTTTTATACTAATATGATTAATTAACCTTGTTTTTACTCCATCTGAAATATAAGTAACAATTGATGAAAACTTCAAAGGTTAGACATGTGGATCATGCAAGAGTAAAATTATTGCATGTGAGTATGTGACAAAGTAGAGTGCATGGAATGAATGCGATAGCCCAAATGAAAAATATGAATCCATGTCAAACTTCAGCCCAAAACAATGCAATGATATACTTCGTAGTTCATCAAATTTTAGATCATGCGAATGCACAGTACTTTAAAATGCTAGACTATTTACACAATCACAATTTACAGATCACAGAGTTAAATTAACTAAAACGAAATATTTTATAATTCCGACTTAAGATAAATTTAATAATAGCCAAAATAACCCCTTAAAACCTTAATCGAACGATTATTATTATACAAAATAATAACGACACGTAAATTAATTGAGATATTATTTGACACGCATACAAGACATTTGATTTTTTTTTTTTGCTAATGTCATGGTCAATTTGGATCCCTAAGGGCAAAGATATCGCCAAACCTTAACTGAACAATTTTCGACACGCAAATTGATAAATTAAAAGTGTAAAAAGGGTATTATATTCTAATTGACAAACGAGTAGTTCGGCCCGGGTCAATTTATGGTAAACAAATATTCATGTTGGGTTTAGGGTCAAATTCGGATTTCGGGTCGGGTCAAGTTCGAGTTGGATTAGTTTGGGTTGGGTCAGTTCGAATAGGTCGATTTAGGCCGGGATAATTTTCAAGACCAATTATCTAGTCAATTTTGGGTCGGGTGAAGTTCGGGTCGGATCAATTCGAATCGAGTCAATTCGAGTCGATTTCAAGTCGGGTCAAGTTCAAGCAGGGTTAGTTCGTTGGGTCAAGCTCAGGTCGAGTCACCAAAAATAAATTCACTCAAAAAAAATTGTGGGGAAATTCCATCTTATTGGTAATTCACCATTTCACCCTATCTACTTTGGTTATTGGGTCACTTCGAGTTGGGTCGTAAAAAAAAGATGAAGTATAAACTTTTAGAGAGTATAAGATTATCACATATGAGTACCATGAAGTTTGATCCATGGACTCGAGGGATATGAGGTAGAAGCAATGTCACTAATCCATCACATCAACCTTGGTGTATATATATATATATATTTTTTTTTAAGGTAAGGAGAATTCCCTTGCAAGTTGGGGGGGGGGGGGGAATAAGGGATCCAACTTGCTTGGGGTGAGAATCGAACCCCATCACATCAACCTTGGTATAGTTTTTTATTGGTGAAGATAAAATACCAAGTATATTATACGGAGTAATTATGTATTTAATAATTTTGACTATAATTACAAATTTGTTTATTGCAGCCATTTAAAATTTATTAATTGTAGCTATTTTAAAATTTATGTTTTGCAAATCGCAGCCATTATAACTTTTTTTTTTTTGTTGCAAATTGCAGCTCAAAAGTGTGTAATAACTTATTATTTGCCACCTAATCCAACTTTTCTCGATTTGCGTGTCAAAACATGTTTCATTAAAGTTTTAAGGGGTCATTTTTACCCTTAAAGATCTAAATTGAGCTCGAAATTCACACAAAAATTAATGTGAGTTTATCGTTTTACCTACCAAAAATTGTATTGATTTGTGAGCAATAACTTTTTTGCCGCGAAAATGAGATACTTACCTTTTTTTTTTACATAGTATAATTTCAAGCTTAAATTGGATGCTTGTGTACTAAATCAACCTCTAGAACCGTTCTGAACATTTTTCAACATGCAAATCGAAGAAAAAAACTAGATCGGGTGACAATTAATTATTACTCATCTGTAATATTTTCGATTTGTAATTTGCAATTTTTTTTTAAATGACTTTAATTTGCAAAACATAAACCACTATAAATTGGCAGAATTTTCTGAATGTATCATTTGTGAAATTAATTTTTACGAGAATGAATGGTGACGGTTGATATTATCCAAATCCAACGATTGACATTATATTGGAGTCATATATTTTCATTTTTTTAATTTTCCCATTCATTTTCAAGCCTTTTTTTTTTTCACTTTTACGCTGCACTTCTTTCTCTCTCCTCCATTGCAGCGAATTCCGAGCTCTCCATTGGAGCGGCTTCCGAGCTTTCGCTCCTCCATTGAAGCAGTTCTTTAGGTATGATGCTCTTTTTCATTTATCGAATATTAATTTCACAATTTAGGGTTTAATTTGATATAATTGCTGATTTATAGTATTCAGTATAGTCAATTTAGGGTTCTTCTAAGGTTTACTAACTATTGACTTGTAAATTATAATCACTGAAGTGGTTTATAGTCAAAAAGAGTGATTTTTTTTTGCTAGAATTTTGATTTGTGAAATTTATGTTGATAATTTGTAAGCCAAAAGAATTATATGTGATTTTTCCGAGGCTAATTCGATAATTGAGTGTAATTTGATTATAAATGTTAGTCCATAGGCGAATAAACCAGATAATCACTCTAGAAATGCGTTTGAGGAAGAAATGAGAAAAGTGGAAGAGATAATTTTGAATTTAGCTGAAATTTTCGGTATTTCTCGAATTGTGAACATGGTAAAGTACTGGTATCTCGATTTCAAGCTTGTAATGTAAACTGACTTGCGTGTTTTGAAATAGGTGTTAATTTACTAACACCTATGGAACTAACGGAAGTTGTTTTTTTTTTTTTTTTTTTTTTTAATTGTCTGCCAATTTAAGTATCTTTAATGTACCTGAGTTTGTGTTGGATGTTGTTTTTCTCGAAATAGTTTAAGCCTGATCCGGCTGCGTGTACAAGGATGGCAAATAGTTTCTAATTAATGTCTGAGTGTGAACCCGAAAATACAAGGCTACAATTATAATGTGTGCTCATGCTGGATTCCATTGTGTTTCAGATCAAGGGTCAATGAAATTAATATCTTGCTTTTGTGCATTTTATGTAAATTGACTTGTGCGATTGTGAGATAGGTGTTGATTTACGAAGCACCTATGGATTTTTTTTATCATTCATAATTGTCAGCCGATTTGAGTATCTAATGTATCCGAGTTTAGGTAATATGTAAGTTTTTTCGAATTAGTTCCAGCCTGATCTGCCTGTGTGAACCACGATGTCAAATAGTATGTAATTTATTTTATACAAAAACTTTATGCCCGAGTTTAAACTTTAAACACGAGGTTACCAATTAAGGTGGCTCATTAAAATGTGTGCACATGGTGGATGCCATTGTGTTTCAGATCAAGGGTTATGAAACTTAATATCCGATTTCGTGAATGTTATTATGTAAACTGACATGTGCGGTTGTGAGATAAGTGTTGAAATACGAATCACCTTTGGAATATTTGCATCAATCATGATTGTCAGCCAAGTTAAGTATCTGATGTACTTACGCTTTGTTTGGATAGCAAAGAAGGAAGGAAAGGAAGGGGAGGGAAAAAGGAGTAAGGGAAGGGAAAAGAAAGGGGAGGGGGAGGTGAGCTCCATTTTCCCTCCAAATCTCTCCAAATTTGGAGGGATTATGCTTATTAAAGAGAAAGGATAAATGGATCCCTCCCTCTCCTTTCCCTTCCTTCCCCCAATCTTTTACCCAAACAAAAGAATTTGTCTCCCCCCTTTTCTCTTCTCTTCTTTTCCTTCCATTTCTTTCTATCCAAACAAAGTGTTAATGTTAAGTTTCTTGAAATAGTTCAAACCTGATCCTCCTGCGTGTGACAAGATGTCAAGCAATTTGTAATTTACTTTACACAAAAAGTTTATGTCTGGCCGTAAACCTGAAAATGTGAGGCTACCAGTTAAGGTGGCTCATTAAAATGTGTGCACATCTTATATACTGTGAAGTGATGGATGCTATTGCGTTTCAGATCAAGGGTTAATGAACTCAATATTTCTGTTTTTTTGGGAGTAGGCTGCATGTACCAGACAACCAGGTTTCCCTATACTGCCTCTAAGGGAACTTCTTAAGAGGCATTGAATATTGTTGACGTTGATGCGGTGTGACTTGATCTCAGCCTTTGTAGCTGTAGCCTGTAAGGTTTACTAAATATTTTAGTGTGTAGCTTTAGTATTTGTTTTTAAAAATAATTTACACTTTGAAGCTACATATAACAATGGTAAAACTATTATAGTCTCACACTCTCACAGTTCACTTAGGATACTTGTATTAGCTATAAATGTACTCATAGCATTGTAGGACATAGGTGGGGTGAATATGGTGGATACTGGATACCTGTCTTGCATATGCACTACTTAGTATTGTAGCATTATAGAGTGACTTGCTAGTTATCCCTTTGTTGCCACGTAACAAAAAATACGAAGCTATCATTACCTCATCATATGTTTTATTTATTTATTTATTTAAAGATGAAACGCTTTGATTTTTACTTTATTTAGTGATTAATAGTTAAAGAAAAGCATTGTGATGTGGGATTTTGTTGAGTTATTCTCGATGTATATTTCAAAGTTTCTTTTTTTGGGTGTATATTTTACACAATTAAATAGTAATGATATTAGTGGTTGAGGCTATACACTAGCAAGTGTGAAGACAAAAGTGTTTAATTTGTAAAAATAAATGAAGTACTCCCTACATTTTATTAATGAAAAATGTAATTCTTAGGAATTTTTGTGCTCCTTGTTCAAGCTGACTGATAGTGAGGTGCACTATGCCAACAGGTGCCAAGAACATAGTCTTATTGTATTTGCCCATGCACTTATAAATCTGGTGTAATATGATACCCTGCACCTAGCAGGTTGACATTTTGTCCTTTCTTGTGTATTATACAGGTGCTTCTTGTAAATTCAGCATCAAAGGACTTTTGGCATTGTTTTGATGACTGAATCAAAGGAGGTCAAATCATCTGGTGATGGCATTTCTGGGTCAGTGAACACTGATCCAGATGCTATGAAAATGGAGATGGTCAAGGAGAAACATACAGAGGACAAGGAGGACGTTGGGGAAAAGGAAGAAGGGGATGATGATAAAGAGAACGCTGAAGAGGAGGAAGAGGAGGAGGAGGATGATGAAGGGGAAGAGGAAGAGGAAGAGGAGGATGAGGAGGAGGAGGAGGATGGAGAGGGGGAAGAAGAAGATACAGAAGAATCAGATGAGGATACAGAGGATGAGCAGGATAACAAATTGGAACCTGGGCCGGTTGATGTGGCAATTGACGGTGGGGAGGAAGAGGAGGATACTGAGGATGAGCTGGAGAACCAATTGGAACCTAGGCCAGCTGATGTGTCCATTGATGGTGGAAAGGTGTTGCATGTGGAGGTTTCTCTGGAAAAGAACTCTGATAAAATTGTAGATTCTCCAACTCACGGGGTCGAAAATAACAAAACAGTGCATGCAGGCAATGTCAAACCGTCAGTAGATGATGATGGTATGTCTGAAGAAATCCAAGCAAAAGCTTGTAATGTCTTTTTGATCATATCTAAAAGGAATTTGGTTAGTCTAGTTGCTTTATATTAAAATTGTGTATGTTTTAAATAATATTCCTTGTTCTCCCCTCAAAAAACAATCATGCAGGTATTCCTGTTCCAGAGGCTTCAGTGAAAAGTAAAGAGGGAACAATAAAGAAACCTGTTATATCTGATGATAAGGGTTCCATAAGACCTGATACTGAAGAGGGCCATGATATAAAATCAGATGATTCACTTAAAGATAGAAGGTCTGGTGATGAAACTATTTCCAGAAATCAATCTTCTTCATTGAAGGAGGAAGAACCAAAGAATGTTGCAAAGACAAAAGAAGGAGCTATGGATGTTGATGACAAAATTCCCAGTCTTGCCTCTAAATTTGACATAGACACTACAGGTGGAGGGGAGTCAGGAACAGAAGATGAACAAGCAGCTTTTATGATGGAGCTTGATAAGTTTCATAAAGAAAGAAGTCTAGACTTTAAGCCACCAAAATTCTATGGAGAGCCACTGAATTTGCTGAAGTAAATCTCTTGAATCTCTGTGTGTTTGCGCCCTTAACCTGTAACATTTTTATTGTTAATATAATATCCTACATTATTTGTGCTGGAGGCTTTTATAGTAATTAAAAATTATTACATTTAGTTGCCAAGTGAGGAAGTTATGTTGGATCATTTATCTCTATTTTCTTTCTACTAGGCTCTGGAGGTCTGTTTTGAAGTTGGGCGGCTATGACAAGGTATATTTATTTCATACTCTCTTTGTTACCATCTAAACCTTGATCTAATTAGTATATGACTTGTCTTCCTTATCCAGAAAAGATAAGTATTGTTTTTAGTGGTGGAACAAGAGGAACTGAGACAAGTAATGGGTTGAACATTATTGACATAATTAGCAGCAAAGCTAATACTTAACTTACTGACGTATCTTTGAATGTTTTTCCTTCTTATAGCTGCAATGCTCTTCACTTTTTACTTGAGAGTCTTCTTAAGGTCTCAGTATTGTAGCTTGCAATTTTAGGCTTATGCACTTTGTAAAATTTTCATTTGAGAATTCTAGTGTGTTTGGTTGCTTAACATAGGCTTGTGTTTTCAATTGATAACATGGAGTGTGGTATTTTAAATTGTCCACTTGTGGAAACTAGTTCATTTCCATATCAGTTATCGTAACCAATTATGACGCTTTGCTATGCAAAGGAAAGCTGCATATTCTTCGTTGTTAAAATTTCGTTTCTAATTGAATAAGCTCTACAAGCTCACTAATTTGAATAATTCTGAAAGTGTATTAAATCTTATTCTACTGAAAGTGTCTTCAGATAATGTTGTCCTGTATTGTTTGGTGGTGCTTATATTGACTTCTTGATTTCCTTCTCGTTCTTTGTCTTCCACTTTTTATATTCCATGTACGCAGCCTAAATATGTCTAAAAGCTTTTATAAATTATTTATTCATTAACTTGAACTAGGATATCAAAGACATTGGTAATTGGGAGAAGTTTCTTTGTTGTATACTAACCTTTCTTTAGCAAGGACAAATGAAAATAAAGGCTATAATCCAGGAGATGTTATTTCCTGTTGAAAACCTAATCAGCAGCTAAAAGCAACATATGGTCGGGAGAGGCTGGTTATGCAGGTGCTTAGGTTTGGGCTATGCAATTTTTTTCGCATAGAATTGATTCATATTAAGTTTCTATAAACTACAAGTATGAACTTATAAAGTGCAAAGTATTGCCTCAGTTTGCTTTTAGTTGCCAAGTTAAAAATTTAAATTACACTATCAATTTGTCAATTTATTCTGGAAGTCTAGATGGGGTATGTCTTTTTTCTAAATCATCACTTAACTAATAATTCGTTCAATAGTTCTATGCTGTGTCAGTGGGTCCAAATGCATACCCTATTACCCTTTTCTTCGAAGTAGCCTATAACTAGGCAAATTAGCTAAGTGGTAGACAAGGTGCCTGTGTTAGGCATTGGTTTTCATGCATGTGAGGTTTTTAAATTTTTTGCTTAAATGATTTGTAAAAATGTACTAGTAATATGTACTTTCTTTGATGGAAAGCAGCAAAATTGTCGTACTATTGTTATGAACTTCTGAACTTCTCTCTTTTGAGTGAAGGGATGATGAAATTTATGATTTTTGTTGAAGCATATTTGAATTCTATTTTATTTCTTGTTTTCAGGTGACTGCTTGTAAATATTGGCGTCAAGTGGGAGAGTCATTTAAACCTCCCAAGTAATGGGCTAAGCCTCTTCCTCCTAACACTTTTTTTGTTCTGATGCCTATTTCTAATTTGCTAGAAAATTTGTTCATGATCCAATTATTTCATTTGACATTGCACATCATACACATGTATTAGTGCAGATCCAGTGATATGGAAGGGTTACCTAAGTTTAATATAGAACACTGACCTTTTTACCTCTCCTATATGCTGTGCATTCCAGTCAAATTTGTAGCAAAGGGGTCCTTTTGAAACATTTTTTCTAAGAACATTAGAAAAAAAAAGTCTATAATTAAAACTATAACCTTAAAAGACAAGGAGTCTTCTGAAGCAGATCATTGGAAAGTAAAAGCAATCCAGTCTTGCTTTTGTGAAAATTTGATGCCAATTTAGGACCAAAAGGGAGGCAAGGTTTATTACTCTGTCCTATAGAGCCTTATGATCAGTATTCCCCATCTCTAAATTCTATTGTTCCTTTCTAGTCGTAGAAATGAAAGAATAGCAAAACGTACCCAGTTCTCAAAAGAAGCTTCTTTCTATTGTTCTTCTCAAATCCGATACAACAAATTTTGATTTGACCTGGTTATTGGGTAAGGCAGCTCAATGATAATAGGGTCAGGGTTAAGGTTAAAGGGCGCTCAAAGGATAGGGTCTTTAATAGACAGGACCCTAATTGGGTAGCGTCAATATAAGGTCAAAATGTTTTTTCCAATTTTATAGATAAAGAACATAGATAATGTAAAAATAATAGCATGAATATTTTTCTATTCATTTATACTTATTTATTGCTCTGTCCTATATTTTTTCAATTGATAGTTTATTGGCCCACCGATTATTTATTTGTTATTGACTTGCGACCCACATTAGTCTGACCCGGAAACGTGACCTTTGACCCACTCGCACTGACCCGCTCAATAACTTCTGGTGAACATCCAAAAAATTAAAAAGTCTTCCAAAGGAACATATCTCCTTAAGTCCTTAGAAGTACCGAATACTCAACCAAAAAAAGAAAATGATTCTTAAGCGCACATTTATTAGGCTATGTAATTTGCAGTTGTCATTTTTGTGGAGTCTTAAAACAAGTTGACTGTGTAATGGACTTCACCTTCATCGTCATAAACTTCAAACACGTAAGACCTTGTGTGTCATTTTCTGTACAAGCTATTGGCTTTCTGAAAAGCAAACACTTTTAAGCTTTTCCTTGAAAAGACACTTGTTTATGATATATGTGATGGGAAGGAACTGAAACTACAAGAGAAACATATTCTTTGAGGGAGAACAATATGAATTGACCTCTGAGAGCCTGAGCAATGTGTAAAAAAACTCAAGGCACTTTAAGGCGATAGGGGTCCTGATGTCCCTTGGTGTTTATTTTTTAAGAAAATTGACTATTGTGTGCCTTGTGCGCTTTTGGTGCATATCTTTGAATGAGCCTCACCTAGGTAAAAAAAATACTCTATCCCAATAACCTAGTGCCCAGGCTCGCTTTTTTATACACTTTCCTCTAGACAATAGATTTCCTATTATACAATCCTAAAAAGGCCTCAAAGATTTGAAATATTGCTGGGATGTTGTTGAACATTAGCTTGTTTTTAATTTCTTATAGGGATATAAATTCACTTTCCTTGCAAACTGAAGATGTGATATGAATACATGACTATCCCTTCACCTTAAAATCCTCCATCAAACCCAGAACCCTACATTATAGCTAAAGTACGACGTAATGTGTCAACAACTAAATGAACCAATGTGGAAAGCTAGGGGTTGATTTGGGAATACGTTTTCTTCTTCCTCCGGCAATCCAATATTGTGTATTATATTGCTCTTTCACTAAAATTATGAAATAAGTAGACTTTAAACACCATCAAATTAAACAAACCAATTTTATCTAAAAGATAGCACTCTTATAGTCTCTTGCAAAGCGTCACCAACTACCTCATTGGCTAGTATGGCCACAATAGTGCAATTCTTTATCGGATTACCCTTAATGGAATCTTTTCTGATAATTTTGACAGGACTTGCACCACAGTGTCATGGACCTTCCGCATATTCTATGAGAAGGTAAGCTCTTTGTTTTGTTAGATCTTATATTCTCTTTCACTCTTTAGAATGAGCCTCACTTGTATTTTAGTATTTCGAACCTTTTTATATGTGTATATTATCACTACCACAATCCTAGGTAGAAGAAAAGAAGAGCCAGATATTCCTGTACATGTAGAATGTGGTTGGTGACTTGGTGCATATTTGTGAATGTTTTGTGGGAGGGCATTTGTCTGTTCCTTGTATGGTCAGTGTTTGATGGTGATATGTATTCCATCATTTCCCCTTCCCCTATCCTCCTTCACATCCAATTCTCAAAAACTAAAGAAATGGGGAAAACAATTGAGAACAGGTGAATGTAGCAGATATGTTATAACTGTAGTCATTTCTTTTATTCCCTTGTGTCTTGCTCTGTTATTTTATATTTTGGTAGTTGCTTGTAAGTTTTGTTTATTATATGATTTGTTGTTGGATTGTGTGTGTGTGTGTTTTAACTATGCATATTAATATTTAATAGTTCTTTTTTGCAGGCTCTTCTTGATTATGAGAGATACAGGACAAGTAGTGATGGCTCTAGCATTCCCGGTTCACTTGCTGTGCCTATGGGAGCTGAAAATCAGGTTTGTGAAATTGTAAAGCTAATCAAATGTGTTTGTTTCTAATACTTGTATTTATCTTATATTCTTATCTAACATGTCACCACTGTAACATTTGGCCATAAGAATATGGGAAAACCCACTTGTATGTGATATCTAATATGTTTCTGAATGGTTGTCCTCAACACCCCTTTATTACTGGACTTACTTCTTTGTGGGTGCCTGTTTTTGTAACATATATATTTCATTCGTAAATGATCCTTTGCAACTTTCTAGTAATATCTGATTTTAAAATGCTAATTTATTATTGGCAATATAAGTTAATAAAGAAAAATTTCTTATGCTTGTACCTCTAGGAGAAATTTCTTTGTACCATCATTTTTGTGCATCATGTATAAGTTCTTAACGACTTTACCAGCAATTTGAATAATGAAGAAGACAAAGTTGTAATGGTAATATGCAAGATAAGGACCAAAGGAGAAGCGTTTATAGTTTATACACTCTTTTTGAACTTGCAGAGGTAGTAACAGAGACTGACTGGATGCTGTGATATGCTGTGGTTTTCAGCTTTCCTTTTTTATCTGTTTGTAGGAGAGAGAGGAAGTTGGAGAAGTATACTCTTTCGGACTTATATATGGGTAGGGTCAGAGATCAGAGACAGTAGAGTCATGCGGTTATGCATAAAGTGGCTATTAGTTTTCTGGTCTTTTCCTGCTAAATAAGCTCAACATATATATCCAGAGTCTGCGGTGAGGAGCCTCTATGACATGGTGACTTTACTCAAGGGAACCAAAAAATTCTACTCCCTCCGTTTCCAATTAAAAGTTCCACATCACCCAAAAACCTTGTCTCTGAATAAAAATCAACTTTCACTTGTGGCTACATGTATCACTTTTAATCAACCAAAACCCACTATCTTCTTTTTACCCTCATTAAATCAACCAAACCATACTATCTTATTTTTACTCGCTTTATATCAACCAATCCCCTTTGTCATGTATTTTATATTCATCATTAATCCACCAAACCTCACTGTCTTCTTCTTTTATTTATTCTCCCTCTTAAACATGTGTGCAAAATGCAAATGGGACTTTATTTAGGGACAGAAGAAGTATGTGAAAGTTTGGTTTTTTTTGCTTGTCCAAACTGTAGTTTCGTTGTGGACTCGGGATAGTTTATGATAGCAAGTAAAAAGGTGTACAATGTGTCTCCACATTTGTTAGTATGAATACCTGTTAGAAGCCTAGTTTATTTATTTTTGGATTATTATTACTATTATTTTTAGCACCTGCTTGACATTTTGTTGTTTTCCCATTTGAAATTTTAACCCTGGATCTTTCAGCAGTTCAGCACATTATGTTGATTATTTTTCTGTTCAAAAAAATATAAGCCTTAAACAAAATTTGTTTTGTTCATTTACTTATATCCAATGTTCTTCTAAACTTCCCAACCCCTAAACGACTTCGTTTCTTGATAGAGGGAAGGTAGAGGAGTATATTAACATTGAATTTGCTAAAATTCTCCTGGGATTGTTTTGCTCACATTGGTAATGCCCAGGGTTCTGGATCAGGAAGGGCCCGCAGGGTTGCTGCAGCTCGAGCTATGGAGGGTTGGCATTCTCAGCGTGTACTTGACAATGGTGAAGTTAGTGACCCAATCATAAAGGTATTTTGATTGTCATGTTGATGATGTTCCATTTTGATTGGTGAAAGCTTTTTTGTGTTTAATATGAATAATTTTGTATTTAGGATAAGAATCTCATCTCGTTGAGCAAGAAAGAAAGACAGCTGAAAAACCTGGGTTTGCTCTCTTACTATGATTTTGTAAATCTATTTGCTAATTTTTTCATTTTCATTTTGCTTGCAACCAGTGGAATCTTTTAATTTATTATAGTCTGCTTAAAATATCGTTATTTCCTCAGGTGAACTGAAACGGAAAAACCCATCTTCAACTGATCATGCCGTGAAACCTGCACGCAAAGTTCAAAAATTACAGTAAGGCATCTAGATTTATGATTTCCTGTGGCTCTGTGATCTTTTAAAATCTGTTTTTAACTTTTCTTTAATACAAGTAGTTTATCTTGCTCTGTTGCACAATTGGTGAATTAATGATCGTTAATAAATTATTTTGTTTCTTCTGGAAGTGGGCAAAAAGAGTAGAAATCCTGGTAGTCTGTATTTTGACTTTTGAGCATAAGAAATCCGCAATTTTTCAAGCTTCAGTTTAGGTGGTGCGATTTTATATTATGTTGTGCATTTCGTCTCCCTCACTTCTTTTAGAACTTCTATATCTTTCAGACTGTCATTTACCTTTTTTCAGGCATTTCTCATCATACTTCATAGTTATTAATGCCATACCCTTTTAATGTTGAGCCCGTTGGTTGCTTGTACTTTTAGTGTTTTTTGGTATGTAAAGTTATAAAAACATCCCAAGGCTTGCCACAGGCAAGTTGGTTGTTAGAAGAACATATTTTTCTTACTTCCTAGAAGATATGAAACTGTTAAAGAAGCAGTTTGTTAAAACCATAGTCTTAATGTGAATCAAGCTTTCTCCTATCACATAACTACCATGTTTATATGATGAACTTTAATTTTTTACAAAATAAAAAACTGATATTGGCTTTTTGCTGAATAGTCCATTGATTAACCTTATGTTAAATTTATTCTCCTACTACCTCTTACCTGTTTTGGAAGCCATGCTGATTGTTTCACTACCTGCCAGATCGGAAACCACAGTAATTGACATTGGATCTCCTGCTGATTGGGTGAAGATTAATGTTCGTGAGACTGTAAGTTTCTAAATCATTGTATCTTTAATAGAATGCTTTCCTTTACAATTTTTTATGTACTTATTGGTTGTATTTTCTTTATCTCTGCATCAGAAAGATTGCTATGAGGTCTATGCTTTAGTTCCAGGGCTACTACGTGAAGAGGTGACATTTATTTCTTGTTCTTAATGTCCTTAAACTAATAGTCATATGTTAATGTATAATTCTTTGTGATATAAAGCTTTTAATCACTGGGGTTCTCCTTGGTGCAGCAGGGCAGATGCCCTTGATGCTGGTACTGGTAGTGAATAATATAAAAATTAGCCAGCACCAACTCTCTAGGACTTTTGGCCCATTGTTTCATTATGTTTGGTGTGTGTTCGTAACATACCAATATGTTGTGGTTTTGCTGGAAATTGGCCTTAAACCCAATTAAAAACCATATCCCATGACTTAGTATTTTTTTGAATTTCTTTTGGAAGGCCCTAAAGTAACCATAGTTTAAATATTCTGTACCTTCAAGCATTCCTTGAAATGGGGCTTTTTATGCCCATAATTCCATTTGTATGATTAAATTAATGTAATATTGTACTGTGTGCATAATATTATGCAGTATTATTGCTGTTAAACTTCTTTCATCATCTTTTTCTTTGTCTTAGAAAAAAAAGTACACGCTAGTCACATCAAATCAGCTTGTTTTAGGCTAATAAATTGGCTTATTTTTAAATGTGTACTCTAGAGATGTAAATGGAGTTTTAAAGTAATGAAGGAAATAAAAAATACATTTTTTGGTGCGATAACCATTGAATGCAGGTGATATTGATTGTAAGAATGTAAGTTAACCTATATGCTTTATTTTACTGTCAACAGGTGCGCGTCCAGTCTGATCCTGCTGGTCGTTTGGTTATATCGGGTGAACCTGAAAATCCTGACAATCCTTGGAGTGTGACACCATTCAAGAAGGTATTCTTTTTTTTTTGGTTACTTTTTTTTTGTAAGAGGAATGGTTAATACGTAAGCTGTGATTAATCTGAAACTCTAAAACAGATTGATCTTTGCTGTTTGTCTGTTAGACTATCCTCTTGCAGGGCTATGAACCATCTGATTTAATCCTGGAAGGATAGAATACCATTAGGCTTGTTTAATTGATTCTTGATGCTATGGATGTATAAGTAGGCATTACATGTAAAAAGAACTATTTCTCTAATTCTTATCAGTAGTGTTGTAACTATTACGGATTATTAATTATTCTGTTCCAAAATACTTCCCTCCCCCCCCCTCCCCCCTCCTTTTTGTGTTAAAATTTCTTTGTTTTTATCTTTAGCCGGGTCCCTCCTCACCTACTGTGTTCTCTCCTAAATCTTTCTTAAGTTTATAAAGCAAGTAAAAGGGGCATAGGGAGTATTAGCTATTTTTTAAAATTATTTTTTATAAAGCTAGTAAGTTTTTTGTTGTTTTTTTTTCCCACCCTTTTCCTGATGTAATCTATATTCCTTTTTCCCTTTGTTTGTTAAGATGTCATTTGTGTTTACTGATCTCCATTTTTTGCTTGCATTATATGGTATCTGAAATACATCACAGTATTGTTTTGGTACTGAGAATGTTCCCCATTGTCTGTTTTGATCAGGTCGTTAGCCTACCGTCAAGAATTGACCCACATCAGACATCAGCCGTGGTAACATTGCATGGACAGTTGTTTGTTCGGGTGCCATTTGAACAATATGACTAGCTTCCAGCAGGTTGCACATAATGATTGAGAGTGTACTGTAATTGTAGGATTGCAGATACTAGTCACATAGGTGAGGATAGCGTGAGCTTGTAGTGCTGTCGATGTTAGGTCTGAGTTCAATCTGTATCTTCCTGTATTCCTCCAACTTTCTGTACTTTTAGACATTCTAGAACTTGCCAATTGCAAGTTTCTTACCAAGAATGAAATTAGGTTCTTCAATGCATAGAATTGAATTTAGTTATCAATTGCATGCTGCAGCCGCTAGCTGATGTTAATGAGTACATATTTTAATTTTTCTATAAAAGATCAAATTTGATGATGTGCGAGAAGGTTTCAAACAAAAAACAAGAAAGAACTGTTTTTTAAACATAAAAAGAAATTATTACAAAATTTTTAAGTAATGAACATACCTTAATTTTATGATGTACTAATGTCATCAATATAATAATTATTTTTTTTTTACTTTTTGTTGTACCAAAGAAAAAAAAATACATATATATTTTTTGTACTCGAATTCCAAACCTTGTTAATCTAAACTGAAAGTGACTACTAGCTCCATATTTTTATTATGTACAATAAAGAAATATATATTATGTCTCACAAATAATGTCCATTAATTACACATTGTCATTCAAAAAATAAAAAAAGAATTGGAGATAGTAGTTCAAATTAATCTGCTCCTACCCTGTACCTTGCTAACAAAAAGAATTGGTGATAGTAGCTCAAATTAATCCGCTCCAACCCCGTACCTTGCTAACCTTAACTGAAAGTGAAGTAACTCAAATTAATCCGACTCAAATCCGATTCAGTCGACTCAATGACCTGGGTTTACTTTTTATTTATTTATTTTTTTGAAACCAAGGTTTACTTATTTATGGACAAATAAGGACTTTCATAAACCTGAAAATTTAAAAGCTAGCCCATCTCAGGCCTTTCAGCAAAGTCAGTCACCCCTTTTTTATTGGGCTTAATGTGCAGTTGAATAGTTACGGGCTATGATGCGAACATCAAATTACGGAGTATATAACACACAAATCAAACCCTGTTTGTAAAATTGAATTCCCGCTTTTTTCTTGTGTTGTTGGTTTGTTCTGAATTTCCGATGCGCAATGCACAGAAACTGTTCGATAAATTGCCTCAAAGAGAAGTTTCACAATTTTCCTGGATCTTTGTTGTAATTTTTGCTTTGGAGATTAAATAATATATTCTAGTGTTTCTGAGATGAAAATTTGGCAGTTAGACCTTGTTTTCTTGTGTGGATTTTGGTGGTTTTAGTGCAGACGATTGGATTCATAAGATTTTAGGTACTTACTTGGTTAACTTAATGTTAATTCTTTCTGGGTGTATGCAAATTGGTGCATTATGTTGTATGAGTGACAAGTTTTCGAGGTTCAGGTTGTTGGGTGGTTAATCCTTTATATGAGTATTGAAAATGGTTATGAGGTTCCTGATTTCCTAAACATAACATCACCACTGAACTAGAAGAGAATTCTGTTTGTCCAAGAAATGGTCTAATATCGAAACTTGACACTTAGCAAACATTCTAAGGATGGATGTGTCGTGATCGCTCGTGGGTGGTATTGAGGACTTGAGGTAATGCAATCTTTGCTTGACTTAAAGTGTGTCTGTACTTTGTCAGATTCTAGAAAGTCTGATGTACATATTTCTTCACTGTTATTACAGGGAATGATGAACTTCAGAGATCATATCGTAGCCTAAACTTGACTAGTCTAGGCTGTTGGTTTTGAAGATATACTGCTGCAGGATTAGGTAGTTTCCTCAACTGGAATGTATAATCTCCTCGGTCTCTCCTATCATTTATTTGACTTGTATTTAATTGATAAGTTTGATGCTAGCCTACTTACGAAACATTCCGCATACACGTGCTAGTAAATTCTTTTAATAAATTCTGTTGGTTTTGCAGTTGGTTGTGTTGCTTCCTGTTCTTATGTGTTTTACATGTCTAGTTAAAGTAGCTAGCCCACTGCATCAAGCATAGTATTGAAAGCTTACTTCTTGGTGCTTAGTAAAATTGGAGAAGTATTCTGATAGGACTTAATGAATGTCTTAAAGATAAGGCCCCTTTTATTGGCTGACATAACCAAATTTTCGAATATGATGCATAATTATTAATTTACCGTAGTATTTATTGTAACTTATAGAATAGAAGAAAGGGTTTCACACTTCCACTATAATAGAAAGAACCCTTTAATCTCCGCGCCATCCCCAAATTCCATGGTATACCCCACGGGTATCATGTAAAATACAGTACTCTATCATTTGGACCTTTGCAGTCTACGGATTGAGGGAGCTACCTTTATAAAAGTACTATCGTTATTCCTATAAGCACTCTACATGAATGTGTGAACGCACTCACATCATCATTAATTAATGTCTTTCTGTAATGGCATTCGTCTATTGCTAATAAGCCATCTAGCTAAGTCCTGTAGCACATATTGAGAATGTTAGTGTTAAATGATTTCTTTTATCATCCTCTACCTATATTCTTCCTCACTTATTCACCCACACCCTGGTTACAGTTTTCTCAAGGGTAGTATTGTGGTGAACTGGTAACTCACATGCATCTTATGGACACTTGTCCTCAAGACATGCGTAACTACCACATCATGACAAAATATATGTCATTATGTTTCATAACCCCACACCCCTAATGTAACAAAATTTGTACAAAAGCAATTTGTATTTGCAGGAAAAGAATTACTCCGTAGAGCAAAATGGCAAGAGTTAAAGTGAGTAAGCAAGTACACTGAATCAAAACCCAGGTGAAGTGGCTGTTTCTTGGAGATTATAACCATCATTGCTTCTATCAAAGAGAGAACACAGGGAGATTTTAGGTTTTTATGAGCAGCTTTTGGGATTTACTTCGCAGTGCCTTTTCTTTAACTGTAGGCACTAATCATTCTCGTCTCTGTGCTGAAGATATTGATGGTGAAATATATAAAAATTTGTGGTCAGTGGAAGCTTTCGGATCCTAGATTACATTTAGATGTCTATCTTGTCCCTCCCCCCCCCCCCCACCCCAGGCTGTGATCCCTATAAAACCCTATGTTTAGGAGAATTTCATGTGTAGATGCTTCTTCAAGTGAATTGCAGTTCCATCACTTCAGTTTCTCAAATAATATTCCTGTAAAGGAGGTTAGGGCCTTTAGGCCAATCGGTGTAACATGTCAAAGAAATTAGTTGCTAAGGGGCTAGTTGAGAGGTTTTAGAGAGTTTAACGATGCTGCTAAAAGTGTTTGGTCTGTTTGTATTCCTTGTTGGTTCAATTTTTGTAATATTTGATGGAAGGATTTGGAAGTTTGGTCCACTCCACGGAAACATGTATGATAAAGATATATGATATATGATTGTAGGAGTCTGGTTTGTCACTGTGGATTGGCAGACATGGATAATACGGAATTTCAGCATTGTAGAGTTTACTAATTTGTAGAAAATAGTTTTGAAAGGTACCATAGGGATCACTTATATGTAGCTACCATACTCTGTACTAGCTCTTAAGAGGACAATTATACTCTTTTTGTGATAGCTGAGTACAATGGTAACAAAAAATTATCTAAATGCGGGGCTGGTTGTGTTCCCCTGTGCTCATGTAAAACTGATAATGGGAATATGCTGCATTTACTGTTCGCAGTTTAAGACTTCATATTCTGCCATTATTTGGGCCAATATGCCGCAATTTCCTCTTTTGTACAGATCTGTGGATGACTCATATCTTGAACAAGCCTGCACCATTAAAGGCTAGGAGGAAACACCACATGTATTCCTTGCAGAGACTATTTATTATTTTGGGATTGATAGAAAATTAGAAACAACGATTTATTTTGAAGGAACATGATGGACCTTTTGAAGGTGTATTTTAGGATTTATTACTTAGAGCTGCTTGCAGGTGTACTACTGAAAGTATGAGGCAAATTATGGTCATCAGATTATATTTTCTTGTGTACAATGTTCCTTTGCTCTATAGTCTTTCTAGAAGGTAGATAGTGATCATAGCCTAATGCCAATTTATTTTACTAAGGAGAAGTTGTGGTAACTAGAAAGAGTAGAAACTCAATTGTATTAATTTTTATGGTCATACCCTGCAATTTAGCCTTCTGGTGATGAATACAAATTCTTTCAATTTTGAAGAGAAGGAAAAAACGAAAAAAGGAACTGCCAAAATATGTGAAGACACACATGCAATCCCCTTGTGATTTGGCAGTATTACATTTTCTCCTGCCTATAGTACTAGGCCAACCGTGGAGTCATGCACCCTATTGTATGGGTGTTGCTTTTGATTCACACCATTAATCAACAACATGCACAATTTTATGTGTGAATCATGTACTTCACTTGTTCTAACAATCTCTAACATGCTGACCTTTTAAGGTTTGGTCAATCTGGTTGTACACATGTTACTTGTTTTCTAGGATGTTACACAACATTTTGGACTCCTGATTGTTGATTTAGTTCTCTATGACTCCTGATAGTTGATTTAGTTCTCTATTTTATTTTCTGTAAGTATCAAAGGGATGAAATCCATACACTAGTTAACTTATTTGCTTGAAACGGAGACAATAAGGTGGAGATTTTATCATCTGATGAATTCTGAAACTACTAAAACTTGGGTAGTTCTTTTCAGACTGAAGCAATTCAATACTGATTGGCAAGAATTAGTTTGGATTTCTATTTCTACAAAATTACAATGATTCATTAGTTCTTAGTAACTCAATATTTGCTATTTATGCATAATTGTATTTATTTTCATACTTCTAAAGTTCTAATGCAATTACAGTTGTCATCTTTGAAAGGAGTAAAGTGAAAAGAAGTGAAGGATTCATGCATAATCATGGTGTTGGTTTGACTTTAAATTAGAGGCTCCTCCCCCATGATAACTAATTGATTTGTTATATGCTATATTTATTTGCAGATAAGACATGAGATCAAGTCATCAATGTTAAATATTATATGGCTTTGGTAATTCAGTATGGTCGATTAATTATGTTTCAAGGCAAAAACATGATTACATGATTACAAGTTACATTTCTTCTTGACTTATGGAGTATATGTGGGATCAGTAAATTTTTCTGTATGTGAATGACACTGTTTGTTGGGGTACAAGAGAATGATTTCCGGTATTGATTTATGCCGCCGTTTCATTCACATATATGCCTTGTTGCTGGACTCCTGCTAATTGATTCTTTTTTAGCCTTTTCTTATCGACAAGATTTTCTAGCATAAAAATAGTAAAGACTCTTATGTTTTTCACCTTTTACTTTCCATTTGTTAAGCACTATGTAGGGTTAATTATACCCTTTA